TGCATAATATGGGGCCGTCTGCTATTTGTTTGATCCTAAATCACAGAAATCAGAATACTCGACAATTATTGTCTTGAATTGGCTACGCAACAAAGAGCGCCGTCTGTTTTACAATACGACGATACCGATGAATGTAGCAAGTGATTTGTGTTGTTGTGTGAGGATTTTGAAAATGTTTGGTGATCAAAGTGTGTATTTCAATTATGAAACTTTTATACGATTCGTCGATTGCTCAGAGGAACTAAGAGAGGCAATAAGACATTGTGAGGCCACTGTAGTCGATATAAATCAAATCATAATTCGACTTCAAAACGATATGTGTGGGTTTGAATCGAAAAATCCCTACAGCAAGTACAGGGTAATATCGTAGGCAATAGTAACAGGTTCTAATGCCGATAGGAGACACTGCGTCTTCCTTTAACTCCTCAGAGCGTGCGTGGTTCTGAACAAATGGTAAGTAATTCTTGAAGAGTGAGTTTTTTCGCCTCCAAATCGTTGTCATATTTCCTTTGCATTTTGGCATCTAAGTTGAGATAAGACAACAGAAAATCTCTTACATTTTCGATACAAATTGAAGTCAACCGCAGACGTTGCGTGTCTATGGGTCTCCAGGTGGCCTTCCAGGGTTATTGTAACGTTCGAGTAATATTTTAGAGGTTTCCACTCTTAGTTAAAGCATGATTACTCAATAAAACGGCAAGCAAACGAGCGTTAATATATTGAAATGTCTCTATGGTACCTACTTAATTGGGAGGTTAATCACTAATATTTTCTGAGACCACATATTCTTAAAGCTGCATCGGTGGCTGCACTGGTGGTAGCAGATGGTTTATTACTGCGTTCTTCTACAGCTCTACAATAAGCAGCGCGAACTGTATCTAGGAAGTCATCGAAGGGATAATACTCCCGAGAAGTCGATAAGCGCTTATCCTGAACAAATAACGCATTTGTGGAGATTACAGTATCTTGAATTACGAAATTCCTTACTATTTCGGCTAATCGCTCAAATAATAAATAACGCGTAAAGTGGCGTAAAGTTCTGAAGTGTCTCTAAAGCGATTCAGGTTACCTACATTCGGAATGAAGCCAGCTTTTGTACAGCATTGGCCATGGCGCACGCGATCAGAACGAAAGAATAATTAAAGTATATTGAAGCGGTACCTACAGGTGGGTACCTTAATTGAAGATAAACAACACACTAAGGTGTTTATGGGGGCGGTAATAAGACAGTAAAACTCTTACCCTTTGGTTTATATTGGCGTGTGTGAAGTTAGCATCCAGTTTTCAGAAGCCGAAGACGCCCGAACGTCCAGTGGTGCAGTTTAATAGAAATATTTAAAAAATGGCTGCTGTGACAGTCTTCGCTGCAATTACGACAAGGATATAATATTATAGCCATTCATTTAGTGACAGTCAGAGGAGGTGAAATCTGCCCCTAACGGACAAAAAAGTTCGTCTAACCCCCATTCAATAAAGGTTTCAAATTCTCATGTTTGTTAAAACGCTAAGATTCATATTTCCTATCACCCAAAAAATTGAAACCCATGTAGCGACCCCCTGAGAGAGAGAAATACGCCCCTAACGTACAAAAAATTCGTTTAACCCCCCACGCAAAAAAGATTTCAAATCCTCATGATTTTCAAAATGTTAAGATTCATATTTACCACCACCCAAAAAACTGGCATTCATTTAGCGACCGTCTGAGGGGTGAAATCTGCTCCTACCGTACAAGAAAATTCGTTTAAACTCCACGAAAAAAGGTTTCAAAATCTCATCATTGTCAAAATGTTAAGATTCATATTTACTACCACTCAAAAAATTGGCATTCCTTTAGCGACCGTCTAGGGAGTGAAATCTGCTCCTAACGTACAAAAAAATTCGTTTAAACTCCACGAAAAAAGGTTTCAAAATCTCATGATTGTCAAAATGTTAAGATTCATATTTACTACCACCTAAAAAATTGGCATTCATTTGGCGACTGTCTAGGGGGTGAAATCTGCTCCTAACGTACAAAAAATTCGTTTAAACCCCACGCAAAAGGGTTTCAAATTCTCATGATTGTCAAAACGTTAAGATTCATATTTACCACCACCCAAAAAACTGGCATTCATTTAGCGACCGTCTGAGGGGTGAAATCTGCTCCTAACGTACAAGAAAATTCGTTTAAACTCCACGAAAAAAGGTTTCAAATTCTCATCATTGTCAAAATGTTAAGATTCATATTTACTACCACCCAAAAAATTAGCATTCCTTTAGCGACCGTCTAGAGAGTGAAATCTGCTCCTAACGTACAAAAAAATTCGTTTAACCCCCACGCAACAAAGGTTTCAAATTTTCATGATTATCAAAATGTTAAGATTCATATTTACTACCACCCAAACAATTGGCATTCATTTAACGACCGTCTAGGGGGTGAAATCTGCTCCTAACGTACAAAAAAATTGGCTTGAACCCCGCGCAACAAAGGTTTCAAATTCTTATGACTGTCAATACGTTAAGATTCATATTTACTACTACCCAAAAAATTGGCATTCATTTAGAAACCGTCTGAAGGGGTGAAAACAGTCCCTGACGTATAGAAAATTCGTTTAACCCCCACGAAAAAAAGGTTTCAAATTCTCGTACTGGTCAAAACGTTAAGATTCATATTTACTAACACCCCCACAACTGAAATTCATTTAGCGAAAGTCTGAGGGGGTGAAATCTGCCCTAACGCACAAACAAACTCGTTTAACACTCATGCGACAAAGGTTTCATATTCTCATACTTATTAAAACGCTAAGATTCATATTTCCTATCACCCAAAAAATTGGAACCAATGTAGAGACCGCCTGAGTGGGTGAAATGTACCGCTAACGTACAAAAAGTTCGTTTAACCCCCACGCAACAAGGGTTTCAAATTCTCACGATTGTCAAAACGTAAAGATTCATATTTACTATTACACAAAAAATTTGCATTCATTTAGCAACCCTCTAGGGGGCGAAATCTACCCCTAATGGAGAAAAAATTCGTTTAACCCCTACGCAAAAAAGGTTTCAAATATCTTGGCTTTAGGTACAGGTACAGAGACTCGCCGGTCGGGCAGTCATTGAAGCCATGAAAACCACATTAACTTTGGGCACTGCAAGACATTTCTGGGACTAGAGCCTTTACAGTTAGCTGTGGGGGCAGAGGCTCGGAACGCTTCCATACGGCCAAACGTATGGGACGAGTGGAAGGATCGAAGCAGCCTTGTCCACGGGCAGATCTTGGAGGAAACCCTGAGATCCGATCCCTCCTCGCCACAAGAGCTGTGATACGGGCTGTGTTACTAAGACCAAAGAGTTGTAAGGTCACTGTCCGGATAGGGAGCTGTGGCTAAACCCAGATCGCCCGTTTCTTAAACCTCATATGGTTTACAGACGGGTCCTTAACGAAAAGAGAACCGGGAAAGGGTATCTTGTGATCGACCAGGAGAGCTAGCCATAGTAAACGCATATGCAGTGACAGTCGGGCGGCGATGAGGGCCCCGCCAGCACACAGATCAGTTAGGCTCTTGATTGAATCTAGATAGATTAGGTGAGTCTAATAGGGTAAGCTTGAGCTCTGTGCCAGCGCACTGCGGAATAGGGGGTAACGAAAATGCGGATGAGCTGGATCGCGAAGGTAGTGGTGGGGTGACTGGGGTCTTCGTCGGCCCCTACCCTTGCTCTCTCTCTGATGTCATGTCAATGTCACGATTACAGACTGGGTAACCAGTCAATGTCAGTCCCAGTGGCCACAAGCAGCTGGACTCGGACCATGATAGGAATAGGTGATCCTTCTATCTATGAAAATCCAGTTCGGCGCGTAGACAAGGCGCGTAATTTTAAACAATTCTTATTTTCGCATTAGGTGTGGTAGACTTTGGAAGTAATCGTTTCATTTGAAATGTAATTCGAATCAAGTTTCAGTACGACCGGCATTATGGCTCAATGGTAGAGCGTTGAGTTATAAATCCGGAGGTCGGGTGTTCGAACCTGGGTTGAGGTGAATTTTTCATCTGTGGCAGAGATGGAAATTACCTTAAACCAGTTTCGAGCATTCTGCCGGCTACTCCGAATTAGGTTTTCCTGCAGTTTTCCGAATTCGTAAGGTAAATACCGGAAGTATAGAACAACTTAAGACCTTCTGCAGAGGCACCTCTAAAAAGCATTATGGGGGTCACTCTGTAATTGGGTGCAAGCCTGTTGAGGGCCCAGAACAAGAGAGGGATAATAAATAAATAAATAAATAAATAAATAAATAAATAAATAAATAAATAAATAAATACGACCTGTGACCAGGAAGAGCGGTTGAGGAAGAGCATTTAGACGCTTCAGTGAAAGTTATTTTTCGGAGTTCACCACAGGCGCAAAACATGAATCAATCCACTCCCAAAAAATGAAAAATTAATGGCGACTTTGGTTCTGCTTATTGAATGCATGACGAAAAAGAGGTTTATGGAAGCAACAGACTGTGCTGTTACATCGTCGACGAAGGTCGCGCTATTCAAGCCATTGTCAAAAACGGACACCTCACAAGGTTACCGCATTCACACTACAGTCCTGATTTAGCACCATGCGAATTTTTATTTATAACCTAAAAAGATACTTCAACTCCACTGGACCATAACCTGAAAAGCCCATCAATAAATAGCAAAAAAATATCATGGCATTGATTGTATACAACCTTTGCTTGGTTAGATTTCATATTACATTATAAACGGGCGATTAATTCTCGTTAGTATCATCGAATAAAGAAGATTCTTTGTTAAATGGTAGTATGACGATTAGCATTTCTGGGTGTGTCATACATTTCAAAAATTGAGAGAAGTAGCAATTAAAACTAGGTATTAATTATAGAAATTCAGCTATAGCTCAAGGTCTCCACGCAATTACCGTGTTCGTAGTAACACCGAATGCGATATGATAGTTTAAAATGTAATAAATATGCAAATGTAAAACTCTTGGTTTACAGCGTATTATTGAAACATTTTTCTTATACTGGTCCCAGTAAGATTGATATACCTGGTATGCGCGATACCCGCCATATATACACCGCAAGTTTCCGGCCCGTTGCAGTTCGTGCGCTTGTGCGATATGGAACGTTGGTGCGGAAAGGTGGCCATTGTGACGGGGGCTAGTGCCGGTATTGGGGCATCAATTGCAGAAAAGCTCGTGGAAGCTGGAGTTATTGTACAAGCCAATGGTGGGAGCTAATTCCCTTAGTGTGATTATTGTGGTTTTAGGTTGCGGGGTTGGCGAGACGCGTGGATCGCATCCAAAGCTTGGCCGACAGGCTAAGTCACCATCGTGGAAAATTGCACGCGCTTCAAGCCGATGTTCGGTTAGAGGAGGATGTTGTTCGTTCTTTCAAGTGGGTTAAAGAAAATCTGGGGCCGATCCATATTTTGGTGAACAACGCGGGTATAGTTCGCAACACGAGTTTAATTAATGGCGACGCTGAGTTGTGGAGGCAAACTTTTGATACAAATGTGCTTGGTTTGTCAATTGCAACACGAGAAGCTGTCAAAGATATGAGGGCAAATGGCGTTGTCGGTCAAATTATACACATTAATAGCATACTTGGGCACATTGTCCCATATATAGAAAACTTTAACGTTTACATAGGATCTAAACATGCCGTCACCGCTTTGACCGAAACGTTGAGACAAGAATTGAATGCCATTGGAAGCAAAATCAAAATTTCGGTGAGTTGTTGAATTGAGTGATCAAATGGTAACCGGCTGTATTTATTTTAGATGGTCAGCCCAGGCGTCGTGGACACGGAATTTCCTTTAGATTCTGAAAGTCTCGCAAAGCAATGGAAGCAAATAGCACATTTATCTGCGGATGATGTTGCTAACGCTGTAATGTATGTTTTATCAACTCCACCACATGTCCAGGTGAATACATAATTTGTGTGTGTCGAAATGTTGCGTGTTGAGTTAATTGATAAATTATGATCACATCGATAGCGTACGTAGCTAGCCCACAATTGCGAAAGTGTTTGAAGAGGGCACCAAACACGTAACAACTTTTTAGGGAGAGTCTACCTACGCTATTGGATCACATTAAGCCGAATTTTAGAAGTGTACCTACTTATCCTTGTTACAGATTCACGATATCATAATTAAACCAGTTGGTGAAGTATTTTAAGTAATGAAGAGTAATCGACAGCTTTACCTTCAGGTTGTCAATGATGTAATTAACGCAATTGTGTTATAATGTTATTCCTCTTATTAACTAAAGCCATTAATTAAAGTGCAATATGCTAAATTTGAAATTCATTTGGCCGGCTCTCACGAATAGCTTTGTTAATTATATTAATTTGATCGCACATTACCTTTACTATGGCATAATTTTTTGTAAGTAAGGAAAATAATACTGTAAGTTTAAATGTTGATCTGAAAATTGATAAGATTGTTGAATAAAGTTCAAAGTGTTAATAAACTCATAAAAAGCGTTTCAAAAAGCGGCAGAGTACCTCGGTGTGACCCCACGGAGTCATTGGATTAGACCCATCTTCATAAGTTTGAACCAAACGGTCCAAGCTTTTGACAGTTATCCGGTTATCGTGTTCACGGACAGAAGGACACCATCGACTCCCCTATAAGGCTTGCATCGCTTTACTCTGCCGCTTAATAAACACCTATCTTTGCTGGATTATTAACTCAATTTTAGAAACAAACAAGTAAAACATAATGATTTTTGGATCAACTGTGACCATGACTATCTGGAAGAAAATAGTATATTATGCAATGAGCATTTAATCGCAGCTATTAAGACACGAGTATGAGAATTATGAAACGAGCCTTGGCGAGTTTCGTAATTAATACGAACCACCAATTCGCTATGCCCAGCAGTTGTCAAAACTTTGATTTTTATAAATTATACGTCGTGTTCCCGTGATGCTGCATTTCTATTGGTCGTAAACCTGTATCTTAATGAAATATCTGTATCGAAATGAATATCGTTTAAGTACAGGTAGCAAATGTTTAATATATCAATTAAAGTATAGGAGAAGAAAAAAAAACAATGCACTTTATTTTCCAGGTTTAAAGAGGCGTTCGTCTCCCTACAATAAAAAATTATTATTAATTAAGCAGCAGAGCAAAGCGATGCAAGCTTTATAGGGGAGTCGATGGTGTCCGTCTGTTCGTATCTCCGTCTGTCCGTGTGACGATAAATTTGTTTTTCCCATGCGCAGTCGGTTTTTCCTTATTTGTTAAGATACTTAAGTTAAGTAGGCTAAACCGTTCTTTAACCGTAAGGATAGATAAAGTGATCACTTAATAGGGTAGATAAAGTGAAACAGATGACTGTGTATTTTTAATCACATCTGTCTTTCTTATTTCAAATGCACCATATAAAATGACGTTCAGAATATATGACAATTCTCTGGAAACGATCGCGACGGCAGAACCTAAACTTGCTATTTTTGACGTGTCTAAATTAAATTCAGAATTGCCAGAATAAGATAAAATAAAATTTTGTATTATACACGACGATAAAGGGAAACTAACCATCTCGTGACATCTTTCACTCATAAAATATCCCTTTATCGTATTTTTATTTTATTTTATTTTATTATCCCTCTCTTGTTTTTGTTTTTGTACAATAAATAACTATTACATACTTTTTGTTTACTGAAAATTTACTTTTATTTATTAACTTCCTGTTCTTTAAATTAAACAAACTGTTTGCTTAGTTAACTGGGGTTCTGATTAAAATGCTATGGAAACTATGAAGAGTACATTTCTCAGACGGAAGGATTCGTTGGCCAAGAGCGTTTTGGCGAAGGCAGAGCGGAGGGCCATGAGCTAGCCTCCGGTTGAATGTACGCTAAGAGTTTAGCTTTGGTAGATGGTTCAGAAGCATTTTCTAGTAAGGTCGTCCAAAATGTGGGGAGCGCCAAAAACCAACCCTAGGGGGAATGCGGTGGAAGAGCTAATAGCGGTACTAGATTTGCGCGGGATGAATACGGGGGCGACACCTACCTTTGTTAGAGGAGAGCGTCAATCCATTAGTGACCTTACGCTCGCTAGTGACGCTTTGGCACGGGACACACAAGCATGAGGCTGAGACCCTTAGTGACCATAAGTATATCTCCTGGGGAATACACTACAGAGGGGAGAGTCGCACCACGAAGAGGAAGGAGAGGATGATGAGATGGAAATAGGGGGCTAGATTGTCGCCAAAATGGACGACCAGAAATTGAACCATATGCTAGGTCGCATCGATGCTCCTAAGGCGGAAGGTGGCAAGAGCGGGCAGAAGGACTAACATGACAGGTGATTTCATTTATTTCATTTATTGATTTTTATGCTCCACAACAGATAACAAACATCCAATTGATCATGAATACACGGAACTCCAACGACATGCATACAAGGTTACCAGGAATAAGCTAAGAAAAATGATAGAGGGAAAGAAGAAAGAATGTTGGAGAAAGCTGTGTGACGACCTGGAGCAGGATATATGGGGAAGAGCGTATGAGATTGTAGTGGGGAAGATAGGGGGACGAAAGAAGGTAATCGGGACTGACGAAGAGATAATGGAGAAGGTCGACAAATTATTCCCGTTACAAGCAAGACACTCGACCGATAGGCAAATGGAGGCAGGAGAAGAAGTAGTAACAAAAGTCAGCATAGAAGAGATATGGCAGGCAGCCAAAAAGACGCCGAAGAAGAAGGCTCCTGGGCCAGACGGGCTACCGCCCTAGTGGGTAAGGTGGCCGTGGATAGGCCAGAGTAGTTCTCGAGAGTATTCAACGATGTGCTGAGGACCGGGGTATATCCAGAGCGTCTGTTACCCTCATACCAAAAAAGGATCCGGGGTCAGTAAGACCAATATCCTTGATAAGTCACCTAGGGAAGGTATTGGAGAGGGTCCTGGCGGAAAGGATTTCCCAGATTTCCATTCTTTCGGACCGGCAGTATGGCAATTCTATCCCGATGAAGGTCATACTAGAGGAATTAGAAAGAGAAGGCACACCACGGTATCTAAGGAGGGTGGTATACAGTTATTTGAGCAACAGAAGAAACCGTGTCAAACTACTTTCCGGGAAAGGGTCGGTGCTGGATCCACTCCTGTGGAACATTGCCTACCTACGACGGGGTCATCCCCCTGGGGATACCGGCAAAAGTGGCTATGGTGGCGTATGCCGAAAACTTCACTATGGTGGTGACAGACCGCAAGATTGAGCTAGCGATACAGAAGACGCAGACCACCATAAACAAAGTACAAGATTGGAGGAGCAGAAAGGTCTCAAACTGGTGGGCAGTAAAACCCAAGCGGCCCTGATTGCGGGAAAGAGAAAACTCCCGGAGGTCACCCTAACAGTCGATCGAACGGACACAGTGGATGGGAAAGAAATAGGGATACTGTGCTTAACTATTGATAAGAGCTTGAGCTATATGCAACATGCCCAAAAAGCCACGGATAAAGCAAATAGAATGGCAGAACAGATGGGCCGGTTAATGTGGAGCACCGGGGGACCACGAGAATGAAAGAGGAGAGTGCTGGCCTCGGTGGTTGACAATGTGTTCCTATATGGTTGCGAGGTGTGTGGAAAAGCAATAAAAACAAGGAGGGCCAGAGAAATGGTAGACAGAGTACAAAGAAAAATGGCCTTAAGAATAACGACGGCTTATCGAACAGCATCTACTAAGGACCTATTTGTGGTGGCCAGTACACCTCCGCTGAGGCTAAAGATTTGGGCAAGGCATGCATGAAGGGAAGAGTAAAGCAGACATACTCTAGGCATGGGAAGAAGAGTGGCAGGCAGGCACGAGAATCGTGGGCGAAGGAGGTAATAGGGAATCAGAAAAGATGGGTAGGAAGGAAGCATGGGGAGACCAACTATTTTGTCACATAATTTCTAACAGGGCATGGGGAAAATGGGTTGTACCTGAAAAGAATAAGAAAGAGGAAGAGTGATGCATGCACAGACTGGTGCCGTGGATGATGCAGGACACGGAGTGTTAAAGTGACCAAGATGGGAAGCTGAGAGATACCGCGTGGCCATTAGAGTAGGGGAATAGAAAAGGATAACATAATCGAAATAATGCTGGAAGTGAAGAGAAATGGAGAATAGTAGCACAGTTAATTGAGAAAATAACAGGCCGCGAGAAGAAGAAGCTAGGTAATAGAAGGGAATACGGGATAGAGACCCCTCTGGAAGAATGCTTGAGTGATGCCCAGAGACGGATATCTTGGAGATTAAGGGAGAAGGGATTTAGTGGGTGTGAGCCCCACACTACCCTCGCGGACAGATACAAGGCGACGGTATGCGGTAGAGCAATTCCCTAATTCCCTGTTTAAAAAAAGAGTAGGGTCTTCTAAGTCAAGACATGGGAGTACTCCAGGCGAGGTGGACCCCTAGTTTATCCAGGGGTGGGTGTTTGACAGCCGTCCATTCATTTCCAAACGTAAGCTGGTTACAAGCTTACAGGATTCATGCCATTAGGCAGGAGGGAAGAGACTAGTATACTAAGGCCAAGTATGATGGGATGGCTAGATCAATTGAATGATTGATTCCTAGGTCACCTAACCTAACATGCGGAGGATTTTGTCCAAGAATCTTCACTCAGTTTACAGCTGAGTACAGTTTCAAGGAAAACTTTTAGCGCCCCATCGTACCCAAACAGTTTTTCCCTGTAGGTACTTCCAAGTACAAGCAATTTTTGAGACATAGGGAGAAATTCGCGAAAAAAATGTAGAAGTTAAAAAATACCAGATAACAGGTTAGAAATGCCGAGGGAAATACTTCCGAGAAAGATTTGGAAGCAATTCTGAGGCGATGATAAAGAAGTATTGGGATGCATTTTGGGAAATATGATTTACGAGAAAATGGGAAGATAACGGAGTAGGTCAAGTAATAAGTCGATTCGAGAAATAGGGTCTAAAGGCGATGGCCCAAAGGAGCTGGGTGGCCGATCAGTGTCCGTACGGTTGGTGTCCAGACAACTAACCCCTATAATAAGGACACAATGGGCCTCATCCGCAATAATAAATTGACTAAGTAAGCCAATCAGCTGATCGGAGTATTGAAAGGAAGTAAGCTGACAGTATTGTCGTCGCTCTTAATCTTTAAAACACATTTGTTGGCATCTTCTGAGCTTTTCGTAGCTTAGTCCCCGGCTGCGCCTTATATCAACAGGCATTCCTGTTTACGCCTCGTTTAACTGCTGCACTAACAGTTTTAAAGCAGATGTAACTGAAACATGTTACATTCACACACCCCTTCGTTACCATATGCAAATAGCAACAATCCAATTTGAATCAGCAATTTATGGACCGCGCACATCAGCTGCGAATATTAACAACGAGAGCGTCACTCGAAATCAACCGGAACAGTAAAACAACCGCCGGCTAAATCCAATCTAATATCATTTTTAATATTTTTTTTGACTTGTCATCCTATGTCACATTCCGGCTGACACGTGCAAGCAGGTGTGATGATCGCCAGAAGG